CTACGGATCGGTGGCTGACTTCATGATTCTAGTCTCAAATCAATCCCACATCGTGCTCTACCCTCGACTTCAGCTTCATCGCATCAGCAATGGCGACTCAATCTCTTCCTTCCACCCCGAAAGCGACACCTCCGCTGGCTCCTCCCACCCCAGAGGGTAACCTGACCCCTGGAAAATGGCGACACCCTCAGCTAGATGAGATTGTGCGACGCCAAAATGCAGCTACGTTTGATCAGAAAAATGTGAAGAAACTGGTTTGGAATGGCGCAGCTTTGGCAATGAGCTGGACATTCGGATCTACCTTTAAAAATTAGTGAGTACGATAAGAACTTCTGGTGCGTCGCGTCGCGTACTAACAGCCTCGTTTAAGTTCACGCCAAATCTTTGATACCAACTATATGTATCAAGAAATTCCGTTATTCATCCTCCAGCTCTTCTTCGTGTTGAATATGCTAGTGGCACTCTACCCCCTCTTCCGGCCAAAAGACGACCTTTCCGACATCCCTCTTACCCCCACCCAACGCTCACTTCTTGGCTTGGATCCTGCTGTCACACCACCAGCAACGCCTGGGACAACATATGTTACCCCACCAAGATACCGCCTTTCCACTTCGCGCAAGGCCAGCCCTGCAAGCAGACAGAGCTCCCCTATGTCTGCGAATGCAAGCTTTTCTGAGCGACGCTCTTCTATCGGCACACCCTTTTCACCTGCCTCCAGCCCTCTTCTTTACAAAGCAATGTCAAATGGAGCAATGTCAAATGGGGGCAAAGAGTCTGTCCAACGCCAGAGCTTTGGATCCCAGAGCTTTGGGTCATCTGTATCTCCTCTAGCTCGAAGTAACTCTTTTGGGGAGTCAACCTCGAGCATGGGCCCAAGTACACCTTCTCCGCTCGTGGGAAAACGGGGAAATCTGGGCGTCAAGAACAAGTGGCTTTATGAGAGGAGCCGGCGGCTATCGGCCAGTGGAGGCACTCTCTGATGATTCTTTGCAGTTTTTTGAACCATTTCACGGACGGGCGCTTAGGTCATTGAAGGTTGTTGTGTTTAAAGTCATAGCGGTTCTTTCACAGTGTATTACAGGGATACCAATTCAATATTTATCATTACAAGCTGGTTTCATTTAAAATCTGTTTGTTTATGAAAGGTGGTGGATATCTTTTCCGTAGATATAGATGGTAAGTATAGATAGATGCTAAAGGTGCCGTTTGATACATGTGAGTAGATGAGAATAAGTGATAAAGGGAGATATGAGACAAGTTAACATTCTACGGTGAATATAAATTGGACAGCCGATCTGCCATACCCCGTGTTCAGGCCAAGATCCCGCGCCCGGACGATTAAGACCGCCAACCACTTCTAGCACTTGGCAAACAGGCAGTCACCCTCTCACCTACACATTTAACATTTGCTGTGAAAATCTGCATGAAGCCCACAACGGCGTGATTTAGCAGCCCTTTCCTTCCGCTATGGGAGCTTCGGAGTCCAAGCTTGTCTTTAAACAGGGCATCTTCCGCCTCTCGGAGGAACAGGAGATCCCCGCGGACGACCCCTACTGGACCAGAGTATGTTCTGATATGAAATGACCATCTGTCCTAGAGCATTGTAGGCTAATTACACTGGCAGTTCTGGGAGCTTCCTGAATCAACCGAAGATGTCTTTAGCCTTTTCACACCGGCCGACATACGACGCACGCGCGATCATGCCTTGCCCAACTTCCAAACACTCCTACTTGCAGTCACCTCTCGACTAACTGTATTGAAAAACCATCCCTCGTTTCCCGACCCGGATCTTGCCCCCGAGCGCGATGTCCTCAACTGCATTCGAATCCTCACTCGTCTCCTCCCCTATGTTTACGAGGCGGAGCATATGGAGGGATGGGAGGATAATTTCTTCTGGGCAGCTCGAAAGAGGAGGACCAGACAGTCACAGATTGCTGGGGAGGTCCTCTTTGATGAAGCACAGCCGGAGGGTAACCAAGAGGCGACGTCACCGCGCGCAGAGGATTACGAAGATGTGAAACCTCTCGCCGAGGAGTTGATAGACACATTGATGGACTTGCTCTTCTTTGCCGACTTTACAATCCCTCGCCTTCCAAGTGCGAAGAGCAAGGTTTCTTTTTCGATTTGGCAGAGTGGTGTTGGCTGCAACACGGCTATGGGGTCCAACAAAACATTGGAGAGCAACCGATGCGAGATTCTACGGCTCATGCTTACACTGACTGGAAAGGCCATGTATTTGCCATCTAGTGAGTTCGGAGTCTGACGTGGTCAATGTATTCCAAGATGTACTAACTCGTATAGATACATTGCCTGTCCAAGGCGTCAAGGCCATTACTTACATCACGACTTGCCAAGATAAGCAGGCTGTCTTGACACTCCTTTGCTCCCTTCTCAATACAGTATGTCCTGCTCAACCGGCGGTGGGAGCCATGCTAATTCAAAACAGGCAATGAAGTATAACCCTGCTTCGTGGAGAGTCCCATACGACCACGTTGTTTGGAAAGATCCCAAGCAGATTTTGGTGATCTATTGCGTGCAACTTCTTCTTGTCCTCTTGATGTATCCCATTCCTGAAGATGGCCGTGGAACTCCACCAAAGAATTATTATCGCCATTACTTCGGCAGGCTACATAGACCTCAAGACTTCCAATTCCTGGTGGATGGCATGACCAGAATTCTGAATCAGCCGGTATTTCTCTCTCTTCTAAAGCATGTATCCAGACATTATGCTGATTGATCGATACAGATGCAAGCTACTGCTTCTTATCTCCCTGGGAGTCAAAAATCGGTTAAATGGGCCCCTGAAATGCTGGTCCTTTTCTGGGAGACCTTGCAATGCAACAAAAGATTCCGGTCATTTATCATCGACTCTAATCGCTCCCACGACTTCCTTGTTCTATGTATCTTCTATGCGATGGAGTATAGAATGGATGCTTCCAAGCAAGGAGTGGTCCGGATGTGCGTTTTCATCCTTCAAACGATGAGCGCGGAGCCAACATTTGGGAAGAGCCTAAACAACATTTTTGAGGGCCAAGAAACCTTACCACAGTCAATCCGGCTACTGAAGTTCCGTGGATCTTATGCCGACTATTTGATCATGGTTTGTCTTTTGCCTGTCTGCAATCATAATGCCATACTAACCGCCGCAGTCAATTCACACGTTGATGACAACTAGCAAGGGGAGTCTGGACACTGTGTATCCTGCCCTTTTGATCATCCTCAACAACATTGCTCCCTATATCGAGCGAATTTCTCCGAGCACCTGCTCAAAGGTCATTCAACTTTTCTCTTCTATGTCTGCGCCCAGCTTCTTGTTGGCGAACGAGACCAACCACACTCTTCTTGCATCGCTGCTCGACTTCATCAACATTATCCTCGAGCACAAGTTCACCGGTAAACTCCCTACTCGGATATTCTCCTTCGGTCAAGTCATTTCTAACTTTATCTAGACAACCCATATCTCGTCTACTCGATACTGAAATATAAGCAACGCTTCGAAGCCGTGCGGGCTTTCACTCTTGAGAGTGGCCAGCAAGAGATCGAGCGGCAGAATGAGAAGAGGAAAGCTCGCACTTCTTCGGATGTCGCGGTCAGCCCTACACTTTCACAGTCCGAGGATGATCTACACACGCCTTCGGATGCCCGGTCACCGTTGACTAGAATCCCCGAAGAGAACAGCCCATTTGCAATTGGCGATGACGACTCCGATGATGAACGCGAAGAAGAGGGAGCACGAACTCCATCTCAATCATCATTCTCAGCTCAAACATCACGTAGACCCTCCGTAACATCCACCATAGACGAGAACGGAGCGCAGCAGGTACGAGCAATGTCCGAAAAGGCACGGGGAAAGAAACCTGCTGGACATCCTCCTTTCTCCCGACAGAACAGCATGACCAGTCAGACAAGCATGTCTGCTATATTCACACCCTCGGCCAGCGGCTTCACACCAACCGTTCCATGGGTAAGTCTATGCAGCCCAGACCACCTTTTCCCTGCTGTTCCACTACTAACTATATTTCTCAGCTCGAGTCCTGGTTGCCTGAACTTCCTCTGCACACAATCCTCACCATCATCTCTGCCATTGCGCCTCATATCCCTGAGGCAGCGCTCGCAAGCGCAGCTAGCCCAGAGGCCCGCACACTAATCCACAATCTCCCATCATTTGCTGATGAGCCCGAGGTTGCTAGTATAATCTCGGAACCTACCCCCGTTCGCGTGCAATCATTTGAGTGGTCCGCACTTTCCATGGGCTGGTACGAATCGCTGCTGTGGGGCTTTATCTTCTCCAGCGAGATGGTGGTCGGTTCCGCTTCTGGTGCAACTCCAGGAACAGTTGGTGTCTGGAACGGCACAGCCATTAAACTCTTCAGGGTCCAAGAAGCTGCTGCTCAAGGCCCGACCTTGCTTGCACCCAAGGGTGCAGTTGATGCTGTGGGTAGCAACCTAGTCCAACGCATCGGAAACCTCAGCCTTCGGGGTCGGAACTCACAAGACTCTGGAGCTGCCTCTTCGCCAAGCGTGCGCGAGGTCTAAGGTCATAATTCTGTGACGTACATAGCTTTCATTTCACAACTTGACCACTTCTTCCACAATCTCGCTATCATCCGTCCTCGAGTTCTCTGTGTGACGGGGCTAGTCTTGCGATTTTCATATTTTTTAGCACTTTCTGGCATTCATGCCAAATACCCTTCATTACTATCCTCTATTTCTTGTAGTCCCTCCAGTAAACAATAGGCTTACATTCTGAGTACTCTTCAAGGTACTCTTTCTCGAATTGTCGAGGAATCGACCATATGGTATATAAAAAAAAATGGTATGTATTCAAATCATAAACTCTTCCTCGTTCTGATCATCCATACAAAAGCCCCCTTGGGAACACGTGAGAGGCCGGGTTCCGATCGTCATTGCCTCTTCGATTTTCAGTCAATTCAATTTCACCTTCTTTAAAATCCAGCTCGAACGTGAAGGATTAATTGAATTGGTAATTTCATCAGCCAATGCTCTCTGCCTTCATGTTATTCCTCTCTAGCGTTGTTGTGGCTCTCCTCGCGGGTCCGGACCCAGCCATTGCGGCGATCACCTCTAGCCTGCAGAGCATCTTAAGGAACACCCACGGCAGCTCAGACTATGGGTATCCCACGGACATAACAAGAGATATCTTACCTGTGAGTTTATTTGCGGTATCATATACCGATAAACTCTCCGTGGAGCGTTCCGCCTGGACAATGTTGTTAACCGTTGGGCCACGGATGTCTAGATCCCTGTTCATTCTCATAAGTAAGGATACTTTTCATGATGCCGACACCTGAATATGGTTGTACTGATTAGGCCAAAGTGACTATTGGCGAGAGGAGCCTTTCTATACAGGTATGACAAAGCTCTAGTGCGTAATGTCTGATGCCCCTGGCCTGACTATGCACAGGTCTCTCACATGGCTGCAAATCTACCGAAGCTGATGTATGGCTATACAACGGCACTCTTTATGTCAGTTCCGCGAAATTTTGCCCGTACTTCTGGGCAGTATACTAACCAAACAAGGTTGGCCATGATGAATCCGCCCTCACGGGGTCGCGAACTCTTGAATCCTTGTATATCAATCCAATTCTAGATATTCTGGAGCGTCAGAACCCTGAGAGTCCATTTATAACATCCCCTACTAAAAAGTGAGTATCTGTCCATAGTCCAATATGGTCCCACTGCTAATGGTTTGTTGAAACAGTGGTGTGTGGGATACTGTACCCGACCAAACACTTTACTTTTTCATTGATGTGAAGACATCCGGCTCCGAGACTTTCGAGGCTGTGATTGCTGCCTTACAACCTCTACGAGAGAAAGGTTACCTTACTACCGTGAAGGATGGTAAGACTGTTACCAACGGGCCCGTCACTGTCATTGGTACGGGAGAGACACCGTTCGATATGGTTGCGCCAATCAAAGACCGGGACTACTTTTTCGATGCACCTCTCGCGAATCTCAACGATCCCCAATATGCCGGCGTTACTGGTGTTATCTCGCCTGTTGCTTCAACAGATTTTCAGAAAGCCGTCGGCAAGATAACTGTCGATACGGACCCAATTCTCTCAGACGACCAACTCAAAGCTCTCCGGGACCAAATCGCCACCGCAAATGAGCGCGGGATTGGTGCTAGATATTGGAACACGCCGTACTTCCCAATTCGTACGCGAAACCTTGTCTGGAGGACTCTACTGAGGGAAGGAGTCATTCTCCTCAATGCCGATGATCTACCTGCTGCTGCTGCTTACTTTTGAATAACGCTGGGCTGAAAGTGACATCAAAGCCATACACATACAGTCACTTATACACTCGATTGCATTCGTGCCACTCGCGTGGCTTTTTACTGGGATTGTATCATTAGCCCTGGTTGGGTTTCCTTCCAGGATTGTCCTTGATTCAAAGATAGAAAGTACCGTCTCCACCACCAATACGATATTCATATGTGTCTTAACTCCTCGTTTCATTGCTCCCATGGCTTCCGAGATGAATCCATCCATAACCTGCCGAATGCGTATCATATCATGTCTCACTCGCTTCGCAGGCATAGGCGGCACTTGTGTGGTGAATTCTTGGCATCAATGTGCTGAATTTGACGGCCAGTGCAGCGCTCATCCTCTGTTCCTATATGGCGTTGGCATTTGATAAACTCGCCGCCTGCCGAGTGACCACAGGCGTAACGGATCTGCAACTGGATGCAGACCTGCGTATTGGTGTCGGGCACTAGGGTATATAGTCAGTGACGTTTAGGCACAGCGAAGTGACACAAATGTAGGCCCACCTATGAGGTCTCCAGAGTGTCTGTGAGGCATATTGTTACGTATTCTCAGCGCAATCAGGTTGAAGCTCTGTGCCACTTGATGTTAGTATTGTAGAAATCATACTTCTCGTGTCTGATGAATATTAATTTGATTGGTCTTACTCAGTTCTTCTTGTGTCCAGGGCAGAAGAACGGGGTTGAGTGATGGATATAGGAGAGTTAGGTGAAAGAACAGGTGAGCAAACGGCGACCTCATGCTTCCAAATACCACATGATATATTGGGCTCATATTGGTATTGAGCAAACATGCTTGTAAGCACAAAGCATCCCCATGTTCGTTAGTAGTCTACATAAGTAACTCATCCTGATTCCATTCCCGATACCTTCCTTATCTCTTGCTACCTCTAACTCAACGACTCGATCAAAAAGCTCTAACCAAATATTGACTTTCCTAATCTGGCAGTTCATATACTCCTGGCACGTGATCTCCAAGGGCGCGAAATCGAGTTCCGCGGTCTCCAGCTCCTCTCTTCACCTTTTCCACGACTCTCATTGGACGAACGAGAATGGCGGCAGATCTGGGAGATCTCTTGGCCAAGGTGCTCCCCACCGGAGTTGAGATCACCGTTCGCCATATCTCGTCAACACCCACTCCATGCGAAGCTCTCTTTGCAGCTGCGCCGGGCCAGATATCCGAGCCCACATTCTGCGAAAATCATTTCCTCTCGGTATCAATTGACTCTAATGATGAAGGTGAGACAATTGTCTTCGGAATGGAGGTGATGGTCTACAACACGGCCCACTTAACCACCATCTTCGTCTCCAAGGCCGACTCGACTGGTTTACTGCATCTCCTAAAATTGCCGCGCAAGGTATCTGTCCTGAGGCTGGTCTCCAACACATTTCTCTCATTTCTGGCTCGAACCCGCCAACGGCCCGGTGTACGTCTCGTGGTATCGCTGTTCGCCCGTGCCCAGAATCAGTACCTGTTCCCGGGCAGCATTGAGAACACCGAAAAGCACGTTCTAGACGATCGAGGCCTAATCAAGTGGTGGTGCCGTGTTCTGGATCCAATCCTACGCGAGCATGAACCAGAATCTGCTCTTCAAGAGGCGAAAGCGTTGGATCAAACAGTCGAGGCTGCCAAGGCCTCTGCTACCGCATACTTGATTGTTCCAAGTTGTGACCGCTTTGAGACACGCAACTTTTTCCCTGCTACAGCCAAGACCGACGCGCAGGATCGCCCACGGTGGCTCAACAGCTACCCACTGAAACAATTGTGCCACGACCCCTCGGCTCCTCCCCGCTGCTTGGTGCCTCGTTTCCCGGATGATCCCAAAACTCGTTTCCTCATCGACCTGGATGGTGAACTTCCCGAGGAGAAGGAAGATCAGCCTACCGCCGCTAATGCCGGACGCTGGCGTAGCGTACGGTCGTTGGACCAATTCTGGGAGATGATGTCTTTCCGTCAAGAATGCTCTGCTGGTCGTTTAGTTGGCTTTCTGTGGTTGGTCATCAATCCTCCTGGTCTGATGAACTCAACGTCAATGGAAAGCCAAACACGCGGTTCATCTGACAATGGCCTAGTCTCTAATGAAACAGAGATTCCTGGTGTCATTCCAGGCGAGGAAAAAGTGCAGAATGGCTCTAGCCAGCCCGAAGAAGTCCCCACATTGGCGAAGGCAACAGCAAACTCTACGACCGCCGTTATTGGCTCCAATATTCCCCGGGATGATGGATCTAGCACTGTGAACCCTTTCGACTGGCCAGAGGCCGGACGTGGACAAGTCGTCCTCAGCGAAGCAGACTACAAAACGATGATGGATTCTGTTCTAGACCATTTCTATGACAAAAAAGAAGTCGTCGCCAGTACTAAAATCTACGTTGATCAAGTTTCTTCCCTGGCGGACGAGCTTACATGGGGCAAGAAGGTTGTAGGCAGCAATACAACGAGCAGCACTGCTTCCCAGCCTGCCAATACCAACACCAACAACATCCTAGATCTCGGACTGATCCGCAAGCGAAAGAAGTCATTGGGCGAGGGCAACACTCCCGTTGTGAATGATTCCCAGGCACCAATTGAATCGGGAGAGAAACAACCAGCTCCGTCAGACCCGGCTAGTGTCAATGTACTCAATGCAAGCTTGGTCCGAAAGAAGAAGAAAACATGAATAATGGGAGTTTTGCATTTTTATGATGGGGGATAGGCGGGAGTTTGGGGAGATTTTTTTTCATATTCCTATTCGGGACTAAACGAATAGCCATAATTTCGGCAATCTACATAAGTTATATTTACATCCGGAGGTTCCGAGTAGGCAGCTATGTGATTTGATATTTATAGGGAAAGAGATGATCTCTGGTTGGTCAAATGCACGTGTCCTGTTGGCGGAGACAGCCTGCCAAAAAATGATTTCCACCCGCATCCGAGTGCTTCTTCAGAATGTCATTCTCGCTTGCGTCTGTGTATATGTCGCCTTTCCTTCGTGTCCCATGCTAAAGCCTACCTTTTCGTTCCTTCCCGGGTCTGACGATGGTGCGCTCAATGTATCCGTCGCGATCGGTTGGATTGCCCTGATCTGGTATGCATTCATACAAGGAGTTTGCGGTCTCGGATATTTCCAGATGTATGATTCGGCCTTTTATTTCGAAATAACATAACCCTGACACAATCCCTTTCTGCTCAGATGGAAATACTTCCTTGGTCAGCCGTCTCGGTCACGGTTAATGAACGCCTCCGACGCACCGCACGTCACCGCCATCCGGCCCGTCAAGGGCCTTGAGCCGCACCTCTATGACTGCCTCGCTGCCACCTTTCGGCAAGACTACCCACGCGACAAGCTCAGCATTCGTCTCTGTGTATCGACACGCGACGACCCAGCCTACCCTACCCTCCGCAAACTAATCACCGACTTCCCGGATGTCGACGCGCAGATTTTCGTCGAATACGAAGATCCGCTCTTGCAGCAGGATGGCACCAATAAATACACACTTGGACCGAATCCCAAGATCCGAAATATGAGCCGTGCGTACCGCGAAGCGAAAGGAGATATCGTCTGGATCATTGATTGCAATGTTTGGGTCGGGAAGGGAGTCTGTGCGAGGATGGTGGACAGGCTGTGCGGGACTGGACCCTCAAGCAAGAAATACAAGTTCGTGCATCATCTACCTGTGGCTGTGGATGTGACGGGAGAGAGCAATTTGCGTCAAGAGCGTCAGGCGCTCCTAGATGCGAACCCACAAGCCACAGATGCCGATACAGCGGCCGCAGCGATGCCATGCGTGCGTCCGGAAGATGGGCCTGCAGCCATGATTGCGACTGGAGGCGGTCGCTTGGAAGAGCTGTTCCTGTCCTCCGCGCACGCGAAAATGTACACTGCGATCAACACTGTTCTCATTGCGCCGTGCATCGTGGGAAAATCAAACATGTTCCGCCGCTCCCATCTCGACTATCTCACCGGTACGTCGACCTCGGGCCCAGAGGCTCGCCATCCCGGTATCGATTTCTTCTCTGAAAACATCTGCGAGGATCATCTGATCGGTGATCTGCTGTGGAGGAAGCAGGTGCGGGAAGAGAAAGAGCTCGGCGAGCGTTGGGGCAAGCATGCCATGGTCTTTGGTGACCTCGCTATTCAACCGGTTGCCAACATGAGCGTACCAGCCTACGTCGCCCGTCGTGTCCGGTGGCTGCGAGTACGTAAATTTACTGTGTTGCTGGCTACGCTTGTCGAACCTGGGACTGAGTCATTCCTATGCACCTTATATGGCGCCTGGGGAATTACCACTGCCCTAGCACCGTATCTTGAGCGAAATGGCATGGAGTTTGCTTCCCGTCTGAAAACATGGGATGCATTTTTTGTTTTGTCCGCACTTGGCATCATCTACTGGCTCCTGGTCGATTGGACACTGTATATCAAGCTGCATTCCGCAAAATGCATTGAGCTGGATGAGGACACTCCAGGTTTTGCGCGTCCTCAACGCTACAGATCATCACAAACTACTCGTCGCCCGTTCATGCAATGGTTTGCCGCCTGGCTCGGCCGCGAACTGCTGGCACTGCCGATCTGGATCATGGCGGTGTATGGCGGTGTGACAGTCGTCTGGCGAGACCGGCGCTTTAAGGTCGGCTTCGATGCGAAAGTTCGAGAGATCGACCCCCCTACTCGGCCTGCGGAGGTTTCGTCTTCTACCGGAGCGGTAGCAGGCAAAGTCCGCAGTGATTGAATTGATGTGTAGATGAGAGCATATGAAAGTTATGTATATTAGCAGCATTCCAAGCCCTGCAACGTCTGTCGATGTAATGTTATGATAGAGAAAATCAAAATGCATTAATATAGACACTAAACAAACAACATATGCAAGAATAGAAAGTACCCATATCTCCAATTCCATGCGTGAAATCTTAAACTTTTCTTTCAATCATTTCTCCCAAAGATGGCGATGTCATCCCGACTTCATTGATATGAAATCAAGCAGATCCACTAGCTTCACCTTCAGTAGCTCCCTTCTCCAAACTAGCGGCAACATCCGAAGCCAGGAGCCACTCAACAACCTGTCTGCCTGCAGACATCTCACCAACACCCTCACCAGACTTCTCCTCGCCCTCGTTCTCACCAATGGTCATCTCAATCTCCTGGGTCTGACGATCATCGCCCTGAGCATCTTCAGCGCCTTCGTCGCCCTCAGTGGCAGCCCACGCCGTCCGCTCAGCCAAGAACACAGCGTCGTGGCCAGCATCGTTCTTAACATCAAGGTCTGCGCCAGCTTCGACAAGAGCCTTGACGCACTCAAGGTGCGCATTAAGCGCAGCCCAGTGCAGAGGCGTGTTGCCAGAGTTGTTGCGGTGGTTAACAAGCGCAGTACGCTGGGCAGCGTCTGCGGATGACAGCTTTTGGAGCAGAGTTTTCAGGATTTCTGAGTAGTGTTAGCGAATGCATGTACAATAGTCGGTGCAAAACAAAAATTTGCCAGGACACGTAAAAAAGTCCAAGTCAAATAATCATTCAATTGACGTACCCGAGTTTCCATTTGCAGCGGGGAAGTGCAGAATGCAGGATCCCGAGCCGCCCTCACTCTCATCAGCCGTATCGACAGCAGATGCCACAATCTGTGACTCGTTGCAGCTGTGTTGGCTGGCCAGGTTGGCAATGTCCTCATTTAGAGCCTCGAGGTCGCCTGCTCTGGCATCATAGATTAGATCGTCGACTGAGTCGGCGGAGAGTGCGATTGGCACTGAAGGCTTTGCCTGTGATGTCGTGGAAGCGGACATGATGTGTGATGTGTGATGAACCAGGTTTTGATATTATGATTTTTCTTTCTTTCTTGGTGGGGTTGTTTTTGATATCCCACTTTATTTGATGTAGCTGGAACGGGATGTCAGTAATAGGTCGGTGTTTGGTGATTGGAAGATGAAAAGAAAACAAAGGCTGTGATGTCTATAAAAACATAAATGACTTTGGGGGAAATTGGGGATTTTGGATAGTACGACAATATGCTCCCCGCGATATATCCATTGCAATTCAAGTCGTCGATAAGCGTTTCAATGTCAAGGACGACAGCCACAAGAGGAGAAACGGTGTTGTTGGTATTTTTCCCACAAATTTGGAGTGAATCAACAAGAAATAAATTCAATCTTACCTTTGCTTTCAGTTCTTTGCTTTTTAGCGTGGAGTATCCCGGCAACAAATGAAGCGATCGCCGCAAAAAATAATTTGATATCGTAGGTCATGTGACTGATAGTGGGTTATCACTCAATACAACAATAGACGTCGAATGAACGATGCCAATCACTACGCGCGTCTAATACGCCTTCAACTTACTGTAAAAGGTTCATGTCGAGAAGAGGCTTAACTTAATTTCATGGTACATCGTACAAATTTACTCAATCATGGATGAGACAGACGGACTTCCGGCCTGTCTCCATCCACATGCAAGGCAGAACGCCGAGAAAAAAAAACAGATCAACCCAGCTCAAACGCCGAGTCCCACATCCGGTGGGATGGTATCAAAAGGCTCCGAAATAGCAATGCGGCAGGTGGCAACGAGAGAATACATCAAACAACCCTCCCTCCCTCCTAAAACTCAAACAAACAGTTAGCCATGGCCTAATCCCTGAGCCAAGCGCGCCTCTTCTCCTCCTTCTTCTCACGACGCTTCTCTTTGAATCTCTTCAACTCTTCCTTTGTCGGCTTCTTAGCACTGCGTTCCGCGCGCAAGCTCCGGCCATCGTGGCTGTTAGCCGCGGCATCAACGTCGAAGAAAGCATTCATCTGGCGTCGAGACTTGTTCTCATCATTGTGGTTTTCCGGATTGATTGTTGCGGCTTGCCACCGTCCAGTGAAGCGGTTGAATGTGCCGGTAGCAGCATATGCTGCGGATGGGTCGAAACCGGGTGCTGTCGCGGGCTGCGCTGGCTCGTTGTAGTATTGCGCATACGGTGCGGTGGGATCATAATCGCCGTGGATCGCGGGGTTATAACCACCAACAACTGGTTCCATTTCTGGAGCTTCGGATGGGTTGAAACCGGGTGCCGTCGCGGGCTGTGCTTGCTCGTTGTAGTATTGCGCATACGGTGCGGTGGGGTCATAATCGCCATGGATCGCGGGGTTATAACCACCAACAATTGGTTCCATTTCTGGGGCTGCGCTCTCGTGGCTGGACTCTGTGCCGGGTGCTGCTGGGATTGCAGGAACTGCTACTGCTGGGACTGCTGCGACCTGTGGCACGCGGGGATTTTCCCACTGCCTTTTGTAGGTGAATCTATTGAAATAGTACCATAGGCCTGTGCGCTCGTCAACTAAAGCGTGCCATCCATCGTCCTCGGGCTGGTCCTCGGGGTGTGCAGGCGGAGCCTCAGTGGGAAGTGGTGGTGGGGCTTCGTCAGGGAGTGGCGGTGCAGATGTCAGTTCATCTTGTTCATGTTTATCAGATCGCGACTTGGACTCGTCGGTTTCAGGTTCTTGGATTGATGGGGTTTCTTCATTCTTTGGCGCCTGGTTTTCCTGGCTGTCAATGTCATGCTTGGCTTGAATTGCAAGTTTCGAAGCAGGTTTGGGTGAACCACTGACGCACTCTTGCGGAGCAGGTGCCGATGCTTCTGGTGAGCCAGACATGCTGGGCGGGTCAAGGCAATGATTTTAAGATGGACAATTGACAGAAGAAAAAGAGATGGATGCTCAATTTAGCCAGTCGAAACAGACCTCAGGAGGTCCGTGCGGGGCATTTCAACGCCACCGCCTACCTAAATTGTAATATATACGAAAGGGGATTAGCGTAGAAGCTAACATTCATGTCCGTTCTCACGTGACCAACTGTTGCCTTCCAAGTTACCTTCCAGGCTTCTCCCCTGTAAAGTCCCTACGAGCCCCCATGTGGGGTGCAATCATAGTTCATTTTATGTGGCTCAATTGACAATAGAAAGAAGACAGTTACTTATTAGGCAATTGTTTGGAATGCGTGAGCAGGAATGTCGTTGTCTACATGGTTCTAGATTTCTTCCACTTGTTTTGACGCCTCGTGGGTTGTAGATACAAGGTAAATAATAGCTATGAGCTTCAAACGTTCGATACCACTAATCCAACGATCACAGTTCGGAATTACAAAAAGTAAAGAAGGGTTGAAGGTCTTCAGCTAATACTCGAATATCAGATCTACCAAAAACACTATACTACGGATATACTCAATGTAGATATATTTATATATCTATTAATGCAGCCAGTTGTGGGGAAAATAATGCGATATTACCGTTAGATCATAATATAAACCAAAGTATCACTTTCATAGTGGCATCTAGCTCATATCACATTTGTGATGTCACTCGGGCAATAAAACGTTGTATAAACTGGCGATATCACTCGAATTTAACGTATAGGGCGCTGCAAATTGCTTCAAGGTGCGCTACTCCTTGGTTGATTCTGCACCCCTTCCAACTTTCGGCGATTTTGAGCGAGATCTATAGCTCGGGTATTGTTACCGACGGTTCTAATTGGTCCTTCGCGGTTGTTGGCAGTGGAATGTTCACCCTTGGTCAATTCTTGGAAGTACAGCGATGTAAGCTCCTTATTCCGATAAAAGAGCTGTTTTACGATGCGCTTGACCTTTCACCATTGGATTGATCGTGAATTCCTGCTTCAGAGTGGCTGACATTCCCATCTTGTTTGTTGATAGTAAAGCTTGACCAGGAGGTCAGGAAATAATTGCTCTCAATATATTATTTAAGGTTAAAAAGAACCATGTCCTGGATGTCTTTGATATTCGCCATCCAACAACCAGTCGACAAAATTCGCCAACATCGTCCCTTAATTTTGTTCTTTCTAGACCCACGCTCAGCTCAAGCGTCATTCGCTCATTTTATTATCTTAATTACTTACTGGCTTTAATACAGCGCTGCCCATTATGAAGGGGATTGCCGTTCTTTCGCTTTTGGGTGTTGCCCTAGCTCATCCGGCGGGCCTTGTGAGTAGTCTAATATCTACAATTCTACAACTCACAGATCTGACGGTATATCTTAGTGGTGGGGTACCGATCTCTGCTACACCAGCCCGGAAAATACCGACAATCAGTGCTCGGATGTTCAACAGGACGGCTTTGACTTATCTCAGCTGCTAAACGAAGAGTTTGACTTAACTGAGCTCGGAAACCGTGACAATTGGAGCATGGAAGGCTTCCACGTCGCTGGGCTCAAGCCTAAGCATGGCTGTCAAGGATCCAGCTACGGGGTATGTCATTATCACTCATCTGAAGGCTCTTGATACTAACTCCTCAAGGGTACTTGTCTTGGTGGAAAACTTTCCCGTGACGATGACTGGAAAATCGAGATTTCCGCTGACGACGCTCCGTTCTCAATCCGAAACTTCCATCTTTCAACTTCCCGAGACACTGATATCCTCATCATCTATAAGATGCCCAATGGTGCTTCCTGTCGTCATGTCGCTTCAAGCTCGCACGCGGGAGTTGATGTTGGCAACGACCAGTGCGGTGGTGCCGTCTCAGTCATTTTCACGCTTCCGGAAGAGAACAAGTTTGGAGATTGTGATATCGAGATTCATTCCATTGACTTTGACTGCTCCACTGGAACCAAGACGCCTCTGCCTCCTGTGCATTGGACCAGGCCTGTTAATCATGAGGTTTCTACGATCAGCCACTCCACCCAGGTGATGACAACTTCCACTGTCTGGGCTACCCAAGAGATCACCGTCACCAAATGCGCACCAACCGTCACTAACTGCCCTGGTCATTCGACTGTATTGGTTACCTCTACATACCCATTGTCCACAACGGTCTGCCCATCTACACCAGTGGATCCAGTGACTAGAACAACATCTGTTGTGCATACCCATCCCCCTATTACGAACTCTGTCTGTACTACGACCGCTACCGCCCCCAGCCCACCGATTGTCACCGCCCCCTGCCCCAGCGTGGTTCCCAAGTGCCTCAACACATGGCTCTCGATTCCCAATTGCGACTCCAACAGTGATGCCGCATGCTTCTGCCCATCGACCAAATTTACGGATAAAGTCAGCTCTTGCATTCGGGCCTGGAGTGACTCCAAGCAGGAGGAAGACTCCGCCCTTGCTTACTTCGCTGGCATTTGCGCCCCCTTCGTTCCGAACAATCCTGCTATTGTTGAAATCGCTTCAACTCGCACGACCACTTTCACTTTCACTCCAGCCCACGATCCTAGCACTACCGTTCCTCGAATCACTGGCTCTACACGTACACATGTTGAGTCTGTTGGTGTAGTCACATCTGTCGCCCAGACTCCTCGTACCACCATCAGTTGGGCCTCTCATACGGCAACTGTCCCCTACGTCGGGTTCAACACAGTCACTTGTGACTCTACCACCTCTGTGAATCTGGTGGTTGTTACTACCAGGCCTCCTCATAAGACCAGTCATGTGCGCGTGTCGACCCCGACGATGACGACTAGCTGCTCAACCACCACCCCTGTCCATACAACAACTGTCCCTAAGACCACTATCCCCAAGCCGACGAATGTTTTCACGCCAGCCAAGCCTACAGCAACCAAGCCAGCTGAAACTGTCGTTTTCGGCAATGTTGGATCGAAGTTACCTTTGTCTAGTTTCTGGGCTTTCGGTCTTGTCATTTTGGCTCTCCTCTTTTAATAATCTTCTCGTTCACTTTCTGAGAAAACGAACTTCACTTCATTGTGGTCGATCCTTTGTTCCGTTGCATGTATTGGATGCACGGCAATATGGCCTAAGACTTGATCTAACTTACTTTCAGGGCATAACTCACTACTTGTTTATTGTTTATTATTGATTTGCGCGCAACGTCCAAAGTTAGCAGTGCGAAGAGGCCGAGCCTTTTATCACGAGCAATTAATTTGGTGATATAAATACTATTGGGCCGTTGAAATATCTATAACCATTCATTCACTCCAAACACAGTATAAAGCTTCATATTTCTGTGGGCTAGCAGATCGGCAGTGCATGAACCCGATTCCATACATGACCGGCCCTTAGTTTAAATCTGATCCACCAAGCAACCCTTTAACTTTTCTTGCTCAATACCTAAAAATAGCATGTAGCAAAAGACCAACTCAATTAACTAATTCTCGAAACCTCCAGATACGACGGAGTGTAGTTATTTTATGGATGATTAAACCCCGCTTCGGGGTTAGAAGTCTTCCCAGGAGGTGCGCCTTGAGATCGGCTCCCTTGATTTCTGAGGAAGGGTCAAAAGTTTAGTTTGAGTTGACCTTGTCACATATTTTCGTATGAGATTGGTGTTTTATAAACCTATCTATAATTTATGGTTGACAATAGTGATTAACAAAGTTACGGTCATAGTTGTAGGAACCTGGAGGTAGGGCTGGGCACATTAGGTGACATGCCCATTTGGGATATCTTAAAGATCTGCGCATTTACCAAGATAATTGTTCTATGCACTCGGCTAATACTATTAGGAATTGGTTGACTGAGAACAATTTTAACAAATAGTATAGCTACCGTATTCAGCGAATTTGAACCCTATTGAAGATTGAAGAAGTAACTAAAACTGAAAGGGATGACTGACGGGATTGATCCTCCAAGGCTAACGTTCAACTTTAGAACCAGTGAGAAATATTTTGATATTGGCCAATCTAATTCAACAGGCGTAAGGCACATTGGGAGAGGGATATTTCTACTGGCTGGATTGGCGCAATGGACCATCGGGCGCAGTCGGTTATTGCGCGATAGTATACTATTTATCAAAAACCTGTAGATGATATATTTGAATTAATAATTGAAGAACTATATTTAAACTACTCTTTATATCCTTGTAAGATGCTATCATTGTTCTGCATTTGAATCAAAAATATGGTTGTTGGTGTAGTGCTCTACATCCCCACCCTTCTAAGATATATATCTTGAAGCTCCGCGTTTAAATATATCAAATCCTACTTGCACCACTAAAAGGTATATAGAGATAATACCGAACCAAGCATTTCACAACAATCGAGCAATAGATTCTAGTATATTATTGCATGGAGAGGATTAGAACATCAGCTTTACAGCGAAATACATGTTGCTGAAGCCATTTCTGACAGCCGGTTTACCATCAATAAGCATAGTGTTTTCTTACAATTCACTATTTTGGGAATTATTCTTAGGTAATAACTACTAGGCTATCAACTAAGAGCCAATCTACTAAAATAATGTACTATCCTATACAGTTCGGTAGCACGAAGAACATACGTTAGGCTTTCTCCATATCGTCCTCATTCAAATGTGACCATGCGGAGGCGAATGAAAATCCAACACTAAAATAACATTAACATATGCATAAACAAAGTGGAATGCCAATGAATTGGTGAGATTTCTAGCAATAAAATTGCGATATACATCGAATGGATCTAGTGAGGTTCCGGCGAAGATCAAGGCACACTAGTAATGCGGACTATGGATATTCTAAGGGCAAGGATCGCTTGGCTGAAATTGAGTAAAGGGGACAATGTGTATAATCTCAAACCCGGCAAATAAGACTGAGTCATGGTTCTGCAAGAAGCCGCTGGGAGGCGGGGAGGAGGTTGGGAGGTTGGTTTTAATCGACACCATTAAGATCGCAAAGCGAACCCCCAATCGGAGAGTTCATGGGGATCGCTTGCCATTACTATTGCGGAGATTAAAATTGTACGGAGTACTCCGTTTAAGAAAAATTAAACAATGCAGGGATTGTCTCATATCTCCCTAGGTAGATTTAGTGTCCGTGGTGGGGACCCTTGCAGATGACCCTCACACGAAAGATCGACCAGTTAGAGAGGGAGAATTCAAGTTGCCTCTCTCTCTCTCTGTCAGCAGCATCGTGCACCTGCCATGAGTATATGCGTGACATGCTTCTGGCTCCGGCAGAGACAAAGTCAAATTAAGGGGAGCCCTTTATGCAGGGGAAATGAAGTCTTCAGGTACAACTTTAGACCCACTTAGACAGCTTAAGCTTACTTTGATCATGTAGTTTTTATGGGCTACTAATGTATTGTAGATATAGATGTATATCATACTATATCTGAACGCTTGTTTTGGTCTAGCATTACAGACAAATGGGTAAGCACTCAATGAGCCTAGGCCAAACAGAAGATCGAGGAATGTCAGGGCTATGACGAGTCGCGTGAAGTAAGAGAGAACATAACAGTAGATACATACCAGGAGCTTCTGTAGCAGCTCCCTCGTTGGTCTACTGGCTCTACAGAGTGGATCGATCTTCCTCTCCCTTTCCTCCCCAGTCACATTCCTGGACCATGCTGGAGATGATCTGGTAGGAGGTAAAACAGTTTGACCCTGGAATATGGAGGCAGGGCAACGCACATACCGCCAGGTCAAATGTATAAATGCGAGCTCATTCATCGCCCTCAGTTTCCTTTTTTTTCATCCGCATCCGACACTCTCTTTCAAGCATTCCTTCTCTATTCTTCAATCTTCCTCTCCGAGTATCTCTTCTCTCGTTCAAATCCAAACCCACCGTCACAATGCAGTTCTCTCTCTCCGCCATTGTCCTCGGCCTCGCTGCCACTGTCTACGCTCTTCCTCCTGGATCTCCCTCCGCTGGTGGCGTCGGTAACGCCAATGGCGTTGGCAACAAGGGCAACACTGACGTTCGCTTCGCTGTTCCCGACAACATGACTGTCAAGCAGGCCCAGGCCAAGTGTGGTGACCAGGCCCAGCTTTCTTGCTGCAACAAGGCCGTCTACGCCGGTGACACCACCGATATCAACTCTGGTATCCTCGGCGGCACTCTCAGCAACCTGATCGGCTCCGGCTCCGGTGCTTCTGGTCTTGGTCTCTTTGACCAGTGCTCCAAGCTCGACATTGCCATCCCCATCCTCATTGGCATCCCCATCCAGGATCTCATCAACCAGAAGTGCAAGCAGAACATTGCCTGCTGCCAGAACTCTCCTTCCAGCGCCGTAAGTACCATTACAATCAGGGCCTATCGAACCCAACTAACATATTTACCAGAACTCCGACCTCATTGGTCTTGGTCTCCCCTGCATTGCCCTTGGATCCATTATCTAAGTGCTTTGCTATGTTTTCTCGCATCATGCCAAAAGCACCGGCTTTGATACCGGTTCTTTGGGCCTTGATGTAGAGGTCAACATCACCGGCGATGTGGACTGTTATGAGTTCGGGAATGGAACGCAGGCCTTAGTGCCTTTTTTGATTAGTTAGATGTCCTTTTCATTTCACATCTGGTGTATCATTAACTTGTGCCGTGTGGACACTCGGAGAAAGAAGATTTTATGATTTTTTTTGGCACCTGCTCGTTGCTTTGCGCATTGGAACCGCCCAGCTGCTGTCTTGGGTAGGGCTTCTTTCGCACATATTTAATTCACTGTCGTTATCTCGTTATTCCTTTCGAAATGCAGAAGTTACCAATTTCTACTTTACAGTTTGCTCTACATTCTCCATCCCTTCTTATCTCATACCCCAACATCCCTTGCATAGACCACTCCCTTCAGCGACTCACCCAACTAAACACTTCCCGTAGTCCTATCCCAGTTAACGATCCCTCATACAATTTCGAACAGTCTACTTCTATCTCCATATAGCAAAATATAAGCATTCAATTTTGACATTAAAACTACCATACCAGCTATATACACATAAATCAGACCATAATCTCCTACCACATCCCAAACCCAACACTACCCCATACACTATTCCTCCTCTTCTCATCCTGCACACTCGCCTCAACCCATTTCTCATTCCTCTTCTCCACCAAACCCTCCTCATCCGTAAGTCCCGCAGAATCCAACCACCTCGGCGACAAAGCACGCGAAGTCTTAATCGAAATCGACGAGCGCGGGATATTCAACCCACAATGCCTCTTCAGCAAAGCACTCATAGACCTCCGCTTCCCATTCTCAGGTGAAATGCCCTTCTCAGACGAACAACCCAACTCTTCTCCCTTCACCTCATCCCCTTCCAAAGGTCCCTTCAACACCCTCCTCGGCGCCTCAACAGGCGACCGACAATCCAATTTCAAAATCGGATAGGGAGGTCTAGACAGTGTCTTGCCAGGGCGGTCTAGCGAACTGGAGGTATTTTCATCGAACAATGTCGGCATGTTCCCAGTATCTGGTCTCAGCTGCATACGGTTTGCTGGTGACTCGCTAGGCTGGACTGGCTCATGAAGCGAGTGGTGGACCATTGTTGAGGTTGAGTCCATGCTTGCGCGTAGTGAGGCTGTTTCAGATGTTGGTTTGATTAGATCGTTTGAGTCTTCGTCGTGGAGTTTGGTGCTTGTTGTTGAGAGTCTTTTGGAAAGGCGGTTATTGCGCATGCGGCGTGCTAGGTTGGATATAATGCCCATTTTGTAGGAGTTTGGTTTTCGTATGGGGATGTGTGTGGTGGTAGGTATAGATATGGGGTTGTGAAGTTGGGGGATTTTGATGTTGATAATTGGAATAGCTGGTAGGGCGATGGCATAAAATAGCTAATTCCGGGGGAAGACAAACTAAAATTGGCTGTGTTCGATTCTGGGCTGGAAGTACGTTGGACGAGGTATGTCGCTATCTAGATCTTCACGGGGTAATGCTGGTTTGTGCTGCTGTGCGACGCAGTGGATTTTAATCCATCTGGTCAAGGAAATTGCGTATATTAACTTCAAACATAGCTCTATCTACTTAGAGCTACACTAGCCCTAATTATCCAAATAATTAAACTTACAGTGAAAGTATAGCAAGCATCACAGTATAAGTTGGGAAGGGTTGCCCGGAGACCAATCATAAATAATATCATGCACAAAGACCACGCAGGAAAATCAAGAAATCAAAGCTACTGAAACAGAGCCAATCGCTTGAATCGGAAAGATAGCTTGTTCAAGAATTCCCCAGATGATCGCATGCAAGGATGTCTCCACTCTCTTTTTGACCTCGCCAAAGAGTGCCTAGGCTTCGAGAGAATATCATTCTTCAACGATTCTAGTACTTTGTGGGTGAGATTGTAAAAGGGACTTTCACGTACAGAGTAGTGTTGGAAGAATTATTGTTGGAGGTTGGAGGAGGAATGCCCGAGTATCGGATCTGCGTGCTTGCAGATCCTTGATATATTGACACGGACCCTCACGCGGGAATGCTTATTATTGATTGACCCCCTTTTGAAAGTTAGTACGTAGGTGTATTTTAACAGATTGCCATGAAGTGAAGGGAAAACCCCGGAAGTGATATTTAAAATGCAAATGCTAAGGTCACCAAAAATAAACCAAAACCCCAAGTTGATTCTATTGTATCTTTCCAAGCAATATGAAGCTAAAAAATGAAGCCCGAAATCATACGTCTAATATAAAATCCTTCAAAGCTTGCTGGAGGGGCCATCGGTAAACAAAGACCTGGTGCGGCTCATCGCTTCCAAGGCCTCCTTCTCGATGCGGTTGAGCAGCACCTCGCAAGTCGGGATATCGTGAATCAAGCCAATAACCTGGCCGGCAGTCCACACCTGTATGACGAACAGTTAGTAAACATACATGAGACATGCATGATTTTAGAACTTACGCCGAAATCAACGTCACCATTGATAAAGACCTCACGACCCCGTTTGCCGCTAACATAGGGCCCGACCTCGCTGAATTCGCCTGTCTTACTCTCCTGCTCAATCTTCAATGCGTCCTTGGCCACCTTGTTAGCGAACAGGCGGGAGGTATTCTTCCACCGACGCAGCACAAGTGCAGTATCAGTCTCCTCTGCGGCAACGATAGCCTCCTTAACCTTCTGGTGGATCGGGGCTTCAACAGTGCTCATAAAGCGAGTACCCATGTTGATACCCTCAGCACCGAGTGCCAGGGCAGCAGCCAGACCCTGGCCATCGGCGAATCCACCGGAGGCGATGAACGGTACGCCAAGTTCCTGGCGCGCACGGCTCAAAAGGATGAAGTTGGTGATATCGTGCTCACCGACGTGGCCGGCACACTCAAAGCCGTCGATAGAAAGGAAGTCCACGCCGAGCTTCACGGCAGACTTGGCGTGACGGATTGTCGTGCACTTGTGCAGGATGATGGTGCCAGCCTTCTTCAGCTGGGTGATGACGGGGCCTGGGTTGTTACCGGCGGTCTCGACAATCTTGACTCCTTCGTCGATGATGACCTGGGCGTAGGCACCGTAGTCAGGAGGAACCATAGCGGGGAGCAGGGTCAGGTTCACTCCGAAGGGGTATTTGGTCATAGTGCGACATCTGCGGATTTCTTTGCGGAGGTCTTCGGGGGTTGGTTGGGTGAGGGCTGTGAGCTGGATTGCAGTGTTAGCACAGTATGTAATGGAGGCTTTTGTTGAAGAATATACGACGTACAAGTCCAAGTCCGCCTGCGTTGCTAACAGCGGAGGCTAGCTCAGCGTATCCAACCCATTGCATACCACCCTGCACGACGGGGACTATATATTTGATTAGCAGCTAGAAATATTCGTGAATAGCAAATTTGTAGCGCACCTCGAATACCGAGCTTTCGCGTTAAGGCTGTGTTGAAAGGCATATTGTTAAGTCGGGGTATCTAATCTGATGTGGAGTCAGTAACTTCCAAAGAAACCCATAGACAACATGCAACCTGCACAGGAATCAGATATACTAACATGAGTATGATTGCTTCTTTGACTACTATCCAAAGTATAGAGTCAAGGAGATAATTAAGTCTTTGAGTGAATATGAAAGACCAGATAATAGACCGATGGCACAGCCGCGGACCTTTGCTGTGGGGAAGGTCCGAGGAGCCGAGGTTGCAGCTGGGTACGATTTCTAGATTACTGAGCAGAGCAACCTTATATCACCTGGTGTCCTGGCCTGGAGAGCTTTATTCTGCTTGTGAATAGTCAAGGTATTGACCTGTGGATCAAAAGTCAAGCCTAGGTCTAGGGAGAGAAGACGGACGGAGGTGGCCCCTGACATGTGATACGTAGCAATGGCTTTATATGGCCGATGTTTATATGGCCGAAGTCCATCAAGCTAGGAAGTTTACAGCTGATAGCACTTGATAGGTAAGAGGCAAGTAAGACATTGCTTTGAATAATTCATTATGTATTGTGAATAGCTGCATAATTCGAGTGAATATCCCAACTGTGCCAAAAAAAAAAAAAAAAAAAAAAGATACCCAGTCTGGGTGCTTCTCCATGGCCAATGCAGACTTTTCAATAGTTCAAATGATCTTTCGAATCACTGTAACATGTCCAAAGAAGCTGGCAAATCTACGAACATCTAATGATGTGATACATATGGTATGTATCCCTGAATATGAAACCCCTTCCCCTCATTGGTAGAGTGGAACGGGCGATTAACGACGGGACTCCTTCTGAGAGCCTCGAGATCCCTCGGCGTCCACGACAGAAAGCCGCAGTCAGTGAGGGAAAGCTAAACACGACGACATCATCCCAGCCAAAACCGGTAGACGACGTGAGCGGAGACTCTTACAGAAGAGAAAGAAAGAAGAGCTGCGGACGGAAGAAAGTGGGAAAACAGGCGAATGGTCACATGACTTCAGTAGCGCGTAAGGAAGAATAATATTCCGACTGGTAATAGATCCGATCTGATTGGCGGACGCCGACTACCGGGTACAAGTCCCGTGACTTAGAACTCCCGTACCCGAGGTCGTCCGTTGATTCCGATCGCTCGCGAGCCACTTGGGATTTCTGATCTTGATCAAACAGAACAATCTCAACTCCGCAATCACAATGTTCTCTCAGAAGGTTGCCCAGCAGTCGCTGCGACGGCGTACGTTTACCCCAATTCCTACCATATCCGAATTTGCGATCTAACTTTATCCCCGAACAGTTGCCGTCCAGCAGCCGTTCGCTATGCGGTCCATGATGGGTGCTTCCCCTGTCGCCGTTGCCCTCGGCAAGAACATGCAGACACGGTCAGTTACCCAGCGCGAAATCGAGTTCCAATTGTCCCGCCCACCCTCGAATCAAGCGCCCCTCGCGAAATCCTACGTCATCCACAATCGCACGAAGTCCATACTAACGAGAGAATGTATATAGACAAGTCGCTTCGTCCTCGAACACCGAGGACCCCAGCCAGATCCTCGTTAAGCAGCGTCTTGCCCGCCCTGTCGCCCCTCACCTTTCCATCTACAAGCCCCAGATCGGCTGGATCGGCAGTTCCCTGCACCGTATCACTGGTGTCGCTCTCTCCGGTACCCTGTACCTTTGGGCTACTGCCTACCTCGTCTCCCCCGCTCTCGGTTGGCACCTCGAGTCTGCCTCCATGGTCGCTGCCATGGGTGCTCTTCCTTTCGCGGCTAAAGTCCTCCTCAAGTCTACCCTTGCCCTTCCTTTCACCTACCACTGCATGAACGGTCTCCGTCACTTGATGTGGGATCTCGGCCGTGGTCTCACAAACCCCGTTATTATCAAGACTGGTTGGGCCGTCGTTGGCCTCAGTATCACCAGTGCTATTGGTCTTGCTTTGATTTAAATGTTTTCGTACCTCATACCTCCGAATTTCTTTATGTGTTACTAAAGTGACTTCTTCTCAAATATACACGAATCTGGTCAATTGGCGCAAGCTCAAAAGGCGCTGATTCTTTTTCTTCTGTTGGACTTTTTTTTCCCAATGTATCTCTATCGGAAATTGTGTTAAGATTTGGCTAGATTAGGTACTTGCATGATTTGAATCTACAAGTATGTTGATTTGGACTGAAATTGTATGCTTGCCCTAGCTATGTCTAGATTTTCTTGGTCTACCATCTGGAGGGTGTTGACGTCTATGTATCAATGTGGAAATGCAGTTGGTCTGACTTGGTATAGTTTCATTAAGGTATCTTGCCCATGGATATGCGAATGAGAAAAGCACCTAAAGTACATAAACTCGTCACTCGAATCCATATTACCCCGCACAGTTACTCTCACACTTCCTTCATTTTGTCTCCTTGGGGTTCAATGTTCCTCTCTCATCACTTCGCATTTTTCCACCTGCAATTTATATTGCATTCACAACAATACATATCGCATTATGATATCCTAGTCGCCCATTGATGCATATCCCCGTCGTAAAGACCGTGGTTGAGATGCCTCGGAGTAGATCTGCAAAGTCAAAGTCAGCACATGGCCAATATATATCTAGCGGATATAGATTATCAACATGGTTGCATAGACCAATACTCACCTATTGTCCCGTGCCGCCTTAACGCCAAACGAAGAAAAGCCAACCAACTGCCATTTAAGCAGGACTGGGAGGTGGGTTGGGTGGGAAAGGCCGCGGTGAGGGAGGATCTTGCACCGAGTGATCACAAGCCGGGATGTTTCCCGCGAAGGTATAGCATGACAAGGCCGGTAGAGGGGTGGCCTTGAAGCCATGGGCAGAAGTAGTGTTGGAAGGCATTTGAATATT